GGGGGATGGGATGTTTTTGTTTTGCTTTGGAATCACGTTCAACTGTTACACTGATGGAGGCTGAGATAACCTCCTCCAGCTCGTAGCAAGTCTATCCCCAGGCAGGCAGATGGGAAAGTCCTCTCCTGAGTGAGCATCTCCTTCCTGCACCTCTCCTCATAGGCAATCCCTGGTGGGTCCATCATCCAGTGTTGTGTGATGGAGAGTTGCTTTGTGTCTGTCCTGAGGATGGAGACCCAACTTTCACACACCTCAGGTGTGGCTTTTCGCATGGGGAGGCTGTGGTGGAAAGCCATGGGGACATCCTTTGGCTGGGATGTCCAGGAAGCAGGATGGACATTGAGGCTCATGAGCTTGGGAAGCATCAAGGAGATCCACTTCAGACTGTCCTAAAACCAAAACAAGGCCAAAGTTTGCGTAAAAGCTCAGTTGTTGGTTCAGCTCCATGGACTGGAGAGCTCAGAGGTGGGGGAGCAAGTGGAGAAAATGCCTTTTACTGCTGCGACAGGAGCATCACCCCGGGGTTGAGATGGGGAAAGAGCAGACCCAGGCGTGTATCTGTCAGCTTTCTGTCCCTGCAATGCCCTCAGTCCCAACCTGGCCGTGAACAAGGGTTTGCGTGGCCCCATGTGAGCCCCGCTCCCTTTGCTTGCACAGGACAGGGCTGGCAGCAGGCACGTGGCTGCCCATGGAGATCGGTCCTCCTGCCTGCATGCATGCCGGACTGTCCCCAGAGCAGCTGCTTGCAAAGTGGGCAGGAAGAAACTGTTCTACTGGTGTCCAGACCTCAAAAGCCAGCTGGTGCCTGTGTGAGCTGTGGGGTCTCCACTGGAAGGGCCCACGTCCTCCTCCTCCTCGCCTCTCCAGAGGTGACACGTTGGGCCCAGGTTGGAATTTGCATTGTGCATCACCTCTCATGTAATCTTATCTCTCTCTCCCACCCAGCCTGTGACTGCCACCCTGTCGGCGCCGCTGGCAAGACCTGCAACCAGACGACAGGGCAGTGCCCGTGCAAGGATGGCGTGACCGGCCTCACCTGCAACCGTTGTGCCAAGGGCTACCAGCAAAGCCGCTCGCCGGTGGCCCCCTGCATCAGTGAGTGCCGCTGCGCCCTGACCTGTGCTTGGGGACCCCCGCCAGCACTGGGACGATGCTCTCCTTGGGCTGGCTTGCGATGGGTGGGAGGCTGAGCCCCTCGAGGGGCTGCCCATCTTCCTGGCTGTTGTCCAGGAGATGGTTGAGGTAGGACAGTTAGGTCACCTTCTGGGGGCACCCATGCTTTGCCCCCCCAGCACAAGACTCTCTGAAAGACCCCTTGGGTTAGTGCTTCCAGCCAGCTGAAACAGCTCTGCTGGGTCGCACCTTCAGCTACAGCAAGGTGCCTTCCTCACCTGGCTAAGCCCTGAGCGTGGCCAGGTCTGAGGCAAGGCCAGCTCCTGGATGCACTGCAGTCAGCGTAAAACCCTCTTTATTTTTGCAGTGGGTCTGAATTTGAACCAAGTAGCAGAGGAACAACCTCATTCCCTGCAGCATCCTTTGGCACTGCTGAAGCAGTGGCAGTGGGGGTGATCTGCGGGGCTGCCTCTTCTCCCTCTGTTTTGCCCAGATTTGGGGTTTGGACAGCATTTCTCCCAGGTTTTATCCCCAGGAGTCCTGAAAAAGTGTCCTCTTTGCCCACGCTTATCCCTGTGCTGTGCAGCATGGAGCACACTCAGATCAGCAGAGCATCCATTTGTCTGTCCGTCCCTGGAGCATGTGTCCTCTGCAGCAGGGACTTATGGCTCTTGGGGGTTGCAGCATCTCAGCCTGTCCCGATTTCCTGAGCTCAGTCTGGGCAGCTCCAGGTCTAATGGCCTGTGATATTCCAGTCAAACTCATCCCATCATCTTTCTTAGCGAGCTGCCGGAGGTGACCCACAAAATCTCGCCTCTGCAACCCACTTTGCGGAGGGCTTTGCCCCCCAGAGCTGGGGACCCCCATGCTTAAGGCATCTCTCCCTTTCTCTTCCAGAGATCCCTGCCATCAACCCCACCTCCCTGGTCACCAGCACAGAAGCACCTGCAGGTAAGTGCTCCATGTCCCGGGCCAAGCCCACAGCCCCAGCCCTGCCCAGAGATGTCCCATCCCACCTACCCTCTCCCCAGCACACCAAGGAGAAGGGCTGAGCCCTACCAAAACCTTTGGAAAAAAGATTAATGGCAAAAAATTTTGGCGAACAATTTTGGCAAAAAAAATGCCCGAGATATGAAATCCTATATATGTCTGGAAAGGGACCGAAAAAGTTTGATGGTCTCAGGGAAGGGGTTTCTCCATCCCCTCCAAGGAGGAAAGCAGGGATGCAGCCTGCCGGGATCTCGCCACCCCTCGGCAGGTTATGGCAGGGGGCTTGTGGCATCTACGGCTCAGTGGGTGCTTGGAGGCTGTTTTTTTTTAATGTCCTTTTATCAGTGCCAGTGCAAGAGGTTTGTCCTTGGTGCCCTTCACCTCCACAGGGCCTTGGCTCTCTGAGTGGTGCCAGGGCAGCGGGGGTCTGGCAGGCTGCAGGCATGCTGAGGAGCCCAGGGGTGCAGGCTGCCAAATTTCCCCTGGGACTTGGGTGATGTGGGGCTCGCCCTGTCCAGGCCCAGAGGAGTGCAGTGTCTGGGTCTGAGCTGCTCGCCCTGACTCCGCAGGGTGATGGGACCATGGGAGGATCGATGTCACTGCTGCTCTCACCCAGCGGGAGAGGGGGGCAGCTCCGGCGGCAGGCTGCAGCCCTTGCACGGGCAATGAAGGCATTTCTGCCATTGGCCTTAGAGCTTCTCAAGAGCCACCCTGGCGTCCCCAGGCTGAGCAGCAAGGCTCACGTCTCCACGCATGATGCAGGTTTGCTCACACTCTTGCAGAGGCTCATTCGGGGCTGGGGCTGGTGGGTGCAGGGATGCTGCCTGCACCCATGGGTTAGGGTCCCTCTGCCAGCCCGGCCACAGCTTCCAGGGCCCCACCAAGGTGCCCTCAGCTCCCACCCTGACACGGCACATCCGATAGCACCACACAGTGGTGTGCGGGCCTCTGGACGCTGCACCACCGGGCTCAGCCCTCCCTGGCGCTGCAGGATGTGGCCTGGCAGGGTAAAGCAGCCACTTTAAATCTCCTCCCTGACTGCCCCTCTTCCATCAGCCACCTTCCTGCTATCTCATCTATCTTCCTGGCACCTCTGTGCCGTACGTGGTGGTCACCAGCAGTGGGAGTGGATGGGCTGTGCTGAGGCCAGGCCAGCTCTTCGGAGGCACACGTGACATGGCCATGCGTCCGAGGGGGCAGTCGCAGGGCTTTTCTAGCACCCCCATCCTTCCACAGTCCCGTTGGCACCGGAGCATGGCTCTTCCTAGCCATCCCACTGTCTGTCCCTCTGTAGGGATCCCAAGCCAGGCCAAGGGGGAGAAGCTACGGAAAGAAGCCCCTTTCCTCCACGAGCCACCCTTTGCCCTGCCGTCCCCAAGACCTTGGTCCTCTCCCACATGCCAGTGTGGGGGACTAGACATCCTGCACTGTCCTCCACTCCATCCCATGGCACATGGTCCTGGGATGAGAGCAGGGACACCTTCAGCTCCCCACGTCCATATTGAATGAGGAGCTTCCCCGTGCCCCATCTGGGCTACTTCCATCCTGGGGAAGCCTACATGCTCCTTTGGAGACCCAGTGCCCTGCATGCATCCTTCTCCCCAGCTCTTCTTTGTGCAGCCACCTCGCCTGGGGGGTGGAAAATGCCAACAGCCCCTTCCCAGATTGGCGCATGCCTGTGATGTGCTCCTCAGCCTTTTGGGAACGTCTTCCAGCATGGCCCCTGCAGCCATGTGCATGCACACGTGCAGCTCCGAGTGTGCTCAATAGGTGTAGGAGGGGGATGGGGACAAGAGGTGTTGAAGATATGGAGCTACAGCAGCAGCGTAGCGTGCAGTTGGGGATGGAGGGGTGAGATGTGTGGGAGGAAGCTGGTAGCTCAGCTCCTCACAGAGCAGCGCTGGCCCCGTGTGCACACGGATCCCACATATTGATGCAGGGGCTGGGAGTGCTGCGCAGCCTGGCGCCCACCCGGCACCCACAGGCACATTTCAGCCCTCCCAGCCCTGCTCCGTGGAGACTCCAGGAGACAGGAGGTGTTACTGGGACGTGAGTCGAGCAGCCCTGCACGGATCTGGCAGAGGTTTCACTCCACACTGAGGTAGCAGAGGAGAGCCGGTCCTCTCCATGCTACGTGTCTTGCACGATGGGACGACCGTAAGGGCTGAGCTGTGATGGTCACGCTGCTGGGGAGGCTGCGCAGGACAGGGCAGACCACCA